AGCACCATCTATGCCCACCAAGACCTTCTCAGTATCTCTGTTGCTTTGCTCTCATATCGGCCATGGTGTGTCCATGTATGCAGAAAGACCTTACTTCCAGATGTTGATTGCCATGTTCATAGTGATTTCTTTTCCTGTTCCCCAACATAATCTGGGTAGAGGAATTGCACTCCTGGGTCTTCCTATGATGGGCCCTGTGGGCTCACTCTTACTTGTATGAGTCCCTTCCAACAAGTCCTCTCTAAGGTCACCCTTAGACTCACCTCTGCTTATTTCTTTATGCTTTATCCTGTGTGGAGGTCAGTGCTCGGCACTTGTGTCCTGCAGCCTTCATTCCTCAGCGTTCTGCAAGACCTCTGCCCTACCTCACAGGACCTGTGTTTAACCTGAAGTACATCTCTAGGCAGTTAGGGTACTAAGTAAGAATCAGCAGCACTGTATGGTCCCCAGACCTGAATTTCAGAAGCGCTAAGTACTTGCAGATTTGATTTACTTCGCTTGGAGCTGCTATAGTTCCAGAGTTTGGCCACCATCTTCTGATGAATAAACTAACACATCCAGTCAAACCTGAGCACACATTCATTAGCCAAGTGAAGGGAATTTGGCCTGTTGACACTGGATGAAAATCTGGCCCTAGAATATCTGCAAGGTGAAGAACGAAAAACATGGAAAGCTTTCACAGATATTCCATTTAATGTTTTGTAAACTCCCCTGCTATGTTGCTAGGGGGATTTTAATACATCAATGCATTTAAAATAGATGTCAGCGAGATGTTTCAAATTGGAGCCAATTCTCCCCCTGCCCTGAACTTCCTTATTGTTCCCATCACTGTTTCAGCTTTCTTCTGTCTGGAAAAGACCCTTTTGCTGACCCACTTCCTGCCCCTGTAGCAGTACTAGGAACTGCACAAGGAATCCTTGTTTTACAAGGATTTATTTGTTTTTTCAGATGCTGACATTGCATTTTGCAGCTAGCTAGGCTTCATCTGGAGAGTATAGTTCTTGCATTTCCTGATGTGAGTCAGTTGTGAGGAAAGTGTTTAACCTTTTAGTCAAAGGTTAAACATATAAAAGGGGAATGTGAAGCTCTTGTATTCCAGTTATTGCCACATTAAAGAGAGCAGCTTTCATGGCTGAGCTAAATCTAACTTTTTTTTGGGGGGGAGGGATATTTCTTTCTGTATCCAATTCAAAGCTGCAGTTTACTGAGCTTGTTGAGGAACGTGTATGTTTGAACAGGGCCATATGTCAACGGTCATTCATTAATTGTTGTTTTTTTCTTCTTAATTGTGCCCTCTGGCTTAGGGAGGCTTGGACAAGCACATGTTTTGAGCCAATGAGAATTTTCAAAAATGGTCTGTTTCTATAAAATACAAAGAACTTCAGAGGAAAATAAATAGCAAATGTTCATTGGCTTGAGAGCAAAAGAATTTGTCCCTACCTGTCTTTACTGGCATCATATTATTTTAATCCATCTTTCTCTACTGCTTGGATGAGTATACTGTTTTCTTACCTGTAATTACCAAGACTGATGACTTAGCTATATTACAATCACATGCCCCTTCCCACTGACTAAATACTTAATGCTATACTGTTGTCATGATCCAGATGACTCTATCAGAGTTCATTCCAGTTTTACTGTCTGTGTTGGCTGCTTCTGTCCTGTGTGAAACATAGGAAAATGTTTTTGTTTAAAGACAATTCCACAGGTGACCTGCTGGTGGATCTGCACTGACTGCACCACTGATAATTTGTTGATGTTTGTGGCTGGGTCTGAAATACCTGATTGTAATCAATCAGCAGTAGTCATCCAATGAGGCTGAGAAAGCTAGGAACAGAGTCTACAGTAACCACTAACTGCGGGTTTGCTCTTGAATCTTTATTGCTCCAGGCATCCATTCTAGCAGTTAATTAGATTGTTCTTCCCTGGTCTGGGTTCTTCTGCAGCTCTCTAGGATTGTGTCTTAAGTAGAGAGCTCCACAGAACAATTTTGCTGGGCTGGAAAGATACAGTCTTGAAAGGGAAAAGAGGATAAACAAAAGATAAAGAATAAAGAAAAATTAGAAACGTCATTCCCAAGGGAGTGTTCCTGACAATCTGTTAACTTTTCATTGGCATATTCATAGCTACTTCCAAAAAAATGTCACAAACTCTTAGCAGAGCAGCTTGAATCTCTGCTGATGAATTGAAGGAAATTTGTTCTAGAGAAAATGCATCACATGAGGTTAACCCACAATACTGGATCAGCCAAAAACAACACCATGGAACAGGAATTCCTTCAGTTTAACAATAACATCATCTCATTGCAGGCTGAGCAGTAATATTAGAAACTGCACATATAATACCTTCCATTACAATTGAAATTTGAGACTTAAAAAAAAATCCTAGGAAAAAAAAATCTTAATCTGGATGCATTTGTTGATTAAGGATATTTATGAGTTGAACACTTACAAAGTTGAATCAGTGTCATGTTAAGATTCCTGTGTTTTATTCCAGGCATATAAGTAATGTGTTATTCAAAATGCCCTGTGGAATAGTTCAAAGCTGGCACTGTGAATAGTTCATTGCATGAACTGTGGAGGAGTGCTGATTTTCCATTGCTCTGCTATGTGCTTCAGTGACTGTAGTTCTTTCTCCTTCTGCAAGCAAGCTCTATCCGACTGTGATTTCCTTAATTGCGTTGTTTTCATTAAAAGGACAAAAGTAACCACTGCGAATCATGCTGTCAAAAACCTAGGTGTCATCTTCCATAGTTCTTAATTTACATTATAATTAAGTGTCTTTTCGTCCAAAACCTAATTCCTTGCAAAGCTGTGGTAAAAGAGCTCTGTGTGAGGATCTCCTGGGGTCAGAATCGGTGGTGATATATTACTGCAGACATAGCATAGAGCAGCTGCATGGTAATCATCATGGCCCCTGGCTTGCAGTAGTAGCTTTGACCTCCTCTGTGTTCCAGTATGGAAGGACTTTGAGAAACAGACCTCATTGCAGATAAGTAGAACAAACACAGACCTGTCTCCTTAGGCACATGGTACCTTTTGCTGTTTTCTTGCTACAGAAGGAATTGCTGCATGAATATGTGCAATTCCCACATGTTGCTCCTCTGGCTTTCTGCACCTCCCTGGTTCTGAGGCTCCAGTATACCAGTAATCCAGGCATATGCTTGGATGCAGATATGTTCCATACAGCTGAATGCCTGGGTTAGGAGTGCAGGAAATACCACGTGCTGTAGGCTAATGGTTCAAGATTGTAGCGATAGAACAAGGGGTAATTGATGTAAACAGGGGAAGTTACGGTTAGATACAAGGAAGACCTTTACTGTAAGAGTAGTGAGGCACTGGAAGAGGTTGCCCAAAGAAGTGGTAAATGCCCATGCCTGGCAGTGTTCAAGGCCAGGTTGGACAGAGCCTCGGGCGACATGGTCTAGTGTGAGACATCCCTGCCCATGTATGATCTTAAGGTCCTTTCCAACCCTAACCATTCTATGAGTCTGTGATTTTAAGATAACGTGAAAATCTTCTACAACATAGATTCTGTGACGTTATCAGATCTTTTGGGCAAGGGACCAGTGAAGAGCAGGAGCAGGCTGTTTATCTGAGCAGGCATCTTTTCTCCCTTTCTCCCGCTCTGCCAAGATCTCCCAACCAGGTCTTGAGAAACTGGGCACAAAAAGACAAACAAGACAACTAGAAAGGGTTCCAAAAGTATTTTTCTTAGTAAATTTTAGATCTGTAGAAACCTGGCTCAGGCATTTTGAAGATAGAATTTTTCTAGAAGGACAGTAAGTTGGGGTTTATATTTGGGAAGAGAGAAAAAGGATGGCAAAAACCAAACCATTACTTCCTCTAGGATAGGAAGCTTCACAGGGAGAGAAGTCTGTGAAACAAAGTGATTACTTCTGCTGCTATCACTCTGAAGAGTGAAGACTGTAGCAAAATCTTCATCTTCATTCAACTTAAATAATAATTTAGCCTTTCTGTTCATAGCATCTGTACATCCTCCTGTGTTTAGCCACAGACTACTAAACTCCTGTGAGTGTTAGTGATATGGACCTGTTTTCCTTACAGGGATAGAACAGTTTCCAGTCCATTTCAGAAAGAAAGATGAATTGGAATTGGATTTGAAATGAGAGAACCAGTTCTGTTGTGTACATCTTGCAACCTTGAGCAAATCTTTGTTCTGTCTATTCTGAGCTATTTGGGGTAGGCACTTTCTCATTTGCTATGCATACGTGCAGTGCTTAGCACAAAGGAGACTCCAACCACACATGAGTGAGCAGTGAACAGATGGTAGTCAGTTGTCAGTTTGACCAGGTATTCCCACTCTGATAGTTTTTGTAGCAAATTTCATCTTTTAAAAGTCTTGCCAACAGGCCAAAACTGGAAGTATGTAAAAGAAAAAGTCAGTGAAGGAGTTCATTTTCTAAATATCTCTTTCCCAGCTCTAAAATACAATGTAGGAACTGAGACACATTGGACATACTGGTGAAGTCCTGCCTAAGCCAAATGTCAGTGCTGTGCTTAGTTAAATCCATAGTAAGCTTGCCTTTTTGACTTTCAGAAATGGAGTAAAACCCAGTTTTGGGCCAGGTATTTCTTTATTCTCTCACTTGCATTCACTCAGATGAGCTTTTAACAATTAGGAGTTTCCCTGTTTGGCAGTATTTCTGTATTGTCACAGGCAGAGATGACATAATGAACTACATTTATGCATATTCTTGAGCTCTTCTGGGTAAAAATAATGACCCTCAGCTTTAATCTTCAGAACTTTGCATCTCGGTGTAGCTATTCTGATGGCAAGGGTGAGTAGATCTGGCTAAGACGGGAAACAGATGTATCCTCTTATTCTCAACATAAATTCTGGGGGGTTATTTTTTGGTTAGCTGCAGTCCTAATCTCACTTTTGATCGAGTGCAGAGGAAAAGAGTAATTAGTGAAGTATTAGTGTTATTATTATTTCCTGACATTAACTCTCCTGCTACTTGTTCATCCTCTTCTCAGGCCCAGCAAAATGGTGTGTGGGTTTAACAGCTGCAGAATGTTTCTTTATTGCTGGTACTTTCTGTGCTCTAAGTCGTACTGTGTTCACCCCAGTGAGCCAGCAGAAAAAGAAACAAATCCTACTGAATATGGCCACAGTTATGTGGGTGGTTAAGTGCCTTGTAACATTGTAGCTTATGCAGGAAGGGGAATATGTTTTATTAGTGTAGTTTTCATTGTTGAAGAGCTGTTTTCCAAATGCACTGTTTTATCCGTAAGATAGGTACAAGTATACTATTTGATTTTAGAATTAATGATTCCTTTTTTAATATGCCTCTCGATGCAAAACTGCTATTTAGCTTAAGCCATCATATGGGCATCCAAGGCACAAAAAGAGATAAGTTGATTTACCAGACATCACATCCAGGAACTGGCCCCTCATTTTCTGAAGGTGAGAGCACCGAAGTTTCCTTCCTTCCCATTGCCTTCCATAAGCATGAATTCCTCAGCATTTCTGACACCTCTTTACTTAACCCTGTTGCAAAATGTGTAGTCCTTGTGTCATTTGTTATGCAGGAGGCTGTACAAGCACATCTTTCCCTCCTAACATCTGCTCTGGATAGATACTCCAGGGACCATGAGGAGATACAGTGTTGGTTGGAGCTTTTTTCCCCTCTCCCTCTTTCTTTTCAGCTATTACATAATAGTTGATTTTTGGCTGCTGTAGTTATTCCTGGTGAAATGTTTTAGTTCCCTAAGCAGTAATGGTAATACTTTGGACCATATTGCAAACATTTATGTCATTTTTTTTTTTATACAAACCTGCTGTATGTGTACCTTTTTAATTACTGTGTTCTCAGTATATCATAACCCTACTACATAAGGTGGTTATGAAAAGACATTCTTCCTATATATTTCATTCTCTTAAGAACTATAAATCCTATGATACATTTTGAAGGCAAGATTTTGTAAGAAGGATAGGCTTTTATTTAAAGTAAACACTTAAAGTGTTCAAGCAGAGATACTAATTCAAGAGGCAATCTATTCCATTTCTGTAAAACTCTTGATCTTTCTCCATCATCTTTAAATTTGTTTTTGTCATGATCAGCTGGTTTGTTTGGTGGTTGGGTTTTTTTTGGTGGTTTTTTGTTGTTTTTTCTTTTTGACACATAATTTAAAATCTACAATTCCAGATTAGAATCATTATGGCCTCTGAGGCAAATTCAGTTCTGAGGCTCTGGGGAAAGTCAGTGTAAATCAATATAAACAGAGTGATCATATGTGCCTGCAATATTTCTGAATTTTTACCTCCCAGCATCAGGGCCAGACACAAGTAACTGCTCTACTAACAGACTGGAGGCTTTAGCCTACATGTGGCAAAGCCATACAGTGCAGCAACAGCCTCCCCTGGGAGGCACTGTAACTACCAGGGTATTTCTTTCATAGGGTAAGTGTGAAATCCTCTCTCTCAGGCATCTGGATGAGCAGTGGTGAAATGTGGACGCTGAGGACTAGCTGAAAAATAGCTACACACTAGTGGATTGCTGTCATGCCCTAGACTGTTGAACAGGAAGGGAAACCACTCTCTTCCACACTTGCACAAATTTTATTATGTTCATTGCTCAGAGATGTATTGCAACTCATAGTTAATCTTTTCAATCTCTTCTGTTCCCATGGAAACTTTGGATAGCAGAAAATAACAGCACGGTATGATATACGTTGCTATATTTGCTAGTGCTGGCCAGTAGGTTAGATCTATGCAGCCTCCCCATTTTTCTTCCTCTTCTTCCTCCTTTTCAACGGGAATATTGAACATGACAAACAATGCTGATTTCAAACTGAAAGTTTAAAAGGAAGCTTCTGTGCACACTGGTGTGTTTAAAAACAAATCTAAAATAGTTCTCAACAGAAACTGACTATGCCAAGTATTTTGGTTTAGATTACTAAAGCAAATCCACCTAAACTGATTCAGAGGACCCATCCAGGAGACCTGCCCATTGCTACACCTATAGTTTTGAGGCAGAACTCGGATCTTTCAGAATAGACACCTCTAAGAGAGGCAGAATTTTGGGGATCAGAATGTGCTGTTGTATTTTCTATAAGCTGTGACGTTCACAGCATGCACAGTATTTTAGAGGTGTGATAACAGGGTGATGCAGATTGGAAAGGCATAATATTACATCATGTTTGGTGACTGAAAGTAAAAATTCTTAAAATGGGTGGAGAAAGAATTGTTACAGTTCCCTGCCACCCTAAAAGAATAAATGCTTGGAAAATTCCCAGAATGTTATTGAAGTGCCTAAAAAGTAAATATTTATTCTGCACACACATCTTTTAGATCTGTCTGTAGCTGAATTTCATTGTTTTTGTGTTGGTTTCTATTATTTGACTGGGTATCTGTGGACATATGGCCTCTTGTAGTGTTAATAAAAACAACTTATGTAGAATGATTGGGCTGTGTAGTAACTGGGGAAATACTGAGGGATTAGAAAAGAAGATAGCCTGCCAAAACCTAGTTTCTGTTTATACACATTTAATTCCTTTTTATAGCAAATTATGCTTTTCTTCTTCAGGCATGGTCGGTTACTCTGATCAAGTAAGGCTAGAGTTTGGGGTACTGAGAAATCGAGGTTTGTAGGTCAAACTCAACTTCCTGTGACATTTCACTGCTATAACAAAAAAAGTGGATTTTTTAGTTGCTTTTAATAGCTGAACACCCTATACTTCTGAACCTGTGCCAGGAAATCTTGAAAATGCTATGAATTCCAGATGATGCATGAAAAGCTGGGAAAGGACTGATCTCGGAATAGAGCTGAGCAAAACACATCTAAATTTCTGTCACCTAACAATTGTTTTTTCCACTGTGTATTGCTCCCCCAGTCTACCTTGTACTTTGTACTGTATGGATGCTGTAGCATACATAGAACTTTTGTTTCTTTAAAATCTTCTTAACCACAACTGCCACCCACTCTTATTCAGTAAAAGTATAAATAAGGAAAATTTAACAAAGATTTAAAACGGTTTAAACTTTGTTTACAAAAGCAGCACAAGTATTTGGTGTGCTTTACCAAAATGCAATATTTTAAACTTGCTGAGAATTTATGATGTGAAAAAGTCCTCTGTTTTTTCAATAGTACCATCAGTTCTCCTCCTCTTCCTTCTGTTCCCATAAAATAAAAATATAACCAGCTTTCTCTGCTTTAGGCAACTCTTGATCAAGATGCAAAATCTAGCCTGTAAGTATGAAGCATTCTGAGGCACACTCACAGATGACTGGTTTACAGCAAGGGGCGTAGAAAAGCCTTCCCAAACTGCCATGGCAAAGACTGTTATTGGCTTAGAACTGGGAGGGAACTAAAATTCAGATTCTTCCTTCCTGATCACAGAGATTTGCAGTGTGGCTTGTCTATGCCCGAGCTAATTCTCTGCACAGCCTTAAAAATCAGCGCAAAGAAAAAGGCACTTTTAGGATGCTGTCTGCCCAGCTGCTTGCATGAGATGAGCTGCACTGTGCCAACCAACTAGTCTTTTATCTTGGTGAACAGCCAAAAGAGCCTGCACTGACTAGTTCAGACATAGCTGCCCTCATTGCACATACCTCTGCTTGGTCATCTGAATCCCACCCCAGTGGCCTACTGTTTGATGGCAGTTCTGAATACCACAGCTCACTGAACACAGCATATCAATACTTGTGCTGAAGCAGACTTGGCTCCCTGGCCTGAGGGGTATTTCTCCTCTTGGCTGTTGATGCTGAGACAGAATGCATGCTGTGATGAAAGGAAAGCATGTACAATGCAGTTCAAAGTACCAAAACTGTTTGCTGAGCTTGCAGGAAATTTAATTTAGCACAAGGGATTTAATGCTCCAAAGATTAAATATTCTTATTCAGATGAGAATGAAAACCTTGGGATCGCCTTATCAACTAAAAGATGTATAGGGCTTCCAGTCAGCAGGCCATAAAAGAACTGATATACTTGTGCACATTACAAAGGTCTTCCTAGTCCTTCCTCTTGCTTCTCTGAAAAAGGTTTAGCTAAGACAGGATGACTGACTATATCACTGGCATAGCTTCACTTAGTTTGCAGTTTTCCAAATCACTGCTGATACCAATTTAGCTCAACAGGACCAAATGGGTGGGGTGCAGACAAGGGAATATGAGACCCTCTTTATTGCTTTTTAATTTTTTTCCATAAAATTCTCCAGGCATTCATAAAGTGATTGTGGTGTTTATAAGTCTGAATTAACTTCTGAAGAAAGAAATATCTGTAATTTGGTTCTTGGTGAATTGTGTTCTTTTCCACAAAAAAACATCAATGTCAAGCCTAATTGTGTAGATGCACTACAGATTCTTGTATCTTTACATCCCAGAGCCTTGAGCTGCCAATTGTTGGATGCTGGAGAAAACCTGCTGGAGAGACCCTGGGAAAGCATGAGTATTATGCTTAGCATGCTGTTACTCTTTTTTTTTTATTCCCTGGACATCTGCTACTGGCCACTGTCATTTACAGGATAGTAGACTAACAGGAGATCTGATATCATCTGGTCTCACTTCCTGCACAACACAAGCTCCTGCCATGGAGCTGTCACTATTCACCTGGTTGGGTTCTACTGTGGCCAGTACTACCAAACTTCTCAAATCCCAAGCAATTCAGCACTGAGGTGGCACAACATTGTGCCTGGGCTAGCAAGGCTAGCTGGCTTGATGCTTAAATGCAGGGAGTCAATATGGGGACAGTTTACTCAAGGAAGGCCAACATTAGCAATGAGACTGAAGAGCAGCAGAGCTGCCCCTCGGGCAGAAACACAGCTCCCACTCACTGAGGTCATCTCAGGGTCCTGTGACAAGTAGTGTGGGTGTCTCTGCTCAGGTGCTCAAAATTCCTTTCCTGCCACCACCAAAGTGTAGCTTATGTAGCTATATAATGCCACTTCAGTAAAAACTCATAGAGGAAGATAACACAGAATATTGTCAACAGAAAATCAGAGAATATTAATAATATTTATAAGATGATTAAAAATAGCTGTAGAATTTCCAGGTTTTGTAAGAGCTGAAACCTTTTTCAGGGTGCTTTATTAAGTCAGCCTGGCATCATTTTCCTGGTGGGAAGTTAGAGCAGTTTTTCTAGGCAAAATATAGAAGGCTGAGTGCTCTGCATTATGGTTTAGGAGA